AAAGAGAGAGAGGGGAGAGGGAGGGAGAGAAAGAGGGAGAGAGGGACAGTGATGCAACGAAATGAAATGTCATCATTACGTCAACATATGAACCCAAGATACCTTTCCTTTTCCAAAATTCAGATTTTAAAAAAAATTAAAAATTAGAGTAACCGACCGTTGGGCCTGTCCCAGGTGACGTTGACAAGGAGGGTCCAGCTCCCGTTCTCGCGCTGCACGAGATTTTCCGCGTGAATTGAGCTCTGGTCCACCACTGGTTGGTCTGTAAGCACACGGGAAAAATAAGAAAAGATGCCAAACGATGTTAACCCTTAGGGCTTCTGACTGGCGAATTATACATTTTTCTCAATGATTTTACAAAAAGAGCCTCAATTTCATGAATTATATCAGTTTATTTTGCAAAATAAGACTTAGAGCCTCAATTGCATGAATTATATCAGTTGATCATATTCTCCACCCAGTCTTCTCTCCGCGCTCCTTCTCTCCGTGGCAAAACTCCCTTGACAGCAAATCGTCCCTCGCGGCCGCATATTACTCGCGTCGCCCAGAGAAAAAATAACGCCGACGCCCAACAAGACTGGCTAACCCAGTCTTATCTTAACAAAAAAAGGCTATTCTAACATTTCCTCATAAATTATGCAAATGAGGTCCTGATTTGAATTAAATTATGTTAAATAATGTTCAATAAAGTAATGTTTAATGTTCCGGACTTTAAATCTCCGTGCGCAGTAAACTGTCAGAGGCATTACTTTGTTTCGATTTTCCTGGCATCGTTATAGCAGTGTTCATATATTTAATAAAAACTGTGTATTGTAGCATTTATAGGTGGCGTAATGTTGGTGGTTCAGCAAAGACTTCCTGGTATTAGTCCGCGTCGATTGTAGCGTAGGCTTTTCGCCTGATCACCGGGATGGTCCGTTCTATATGCGTTATGGGTATGTCTGGGTCATCGGAGAAAAGGGTAACTTTTTTTTCCTCATTTTTTAGAAACATGATATACTAAGCGTCTTCGAGATGTAAGCCATTATTACCCTGGTGATTTTTTTTCATGCAGCTAAGTGTGAAAAATAACAAAAACTAGAGTTCCCCGATCTCATACCTTCGCCAAATGAGTTAATCTTTATGACTGACAAATTACAGATTACCCCCTGATTTAGCAAATAGGATCCTCATTTTCATGAATTATATCAATTTATCATATTCTCAACCAAAAGACAGTCTTATATTAACAAAAAATGCCATTCTAGAATTTCCTCATAAATTATGAAAATGAGGTCCTCATTTGAATATATTATGTTTAATGATGTTTACCTTCACTGAACTTTCAAATACCACAAGTATGAAATTCCATAAAAAGGTTCCGCGGGCATATTTTCCACCTGGGCTCATAAGCTTAAGAGCAGCAAATGGATGTAGTATCCTACACCTAAAGACATTTGGTTCTAGTGGGACGTACATCAGGATGTCATGTAACACTCACTGGGACATCCTGCCAAGGGACGATCTCATACGTTAGTGTTTCGTCTGCAAACGGAATCATTTTGAAAGTCTGACGTGGTATGGGCGACTAACGGCAATTAAGAAAATGCTGGCACGTTCCTGTCTTTTACTAAAGTTTTAGTCTCAAATCTGACTCAGAGTTTGAATCGTTTGGACGGAAAAATCGCTACGGTTGAGGGAGATATTTGATTTATCATATAAACGGGGAGTCAAACATCCAACATCTGCTTTGAGATTAAGCAGATGGTCCCTCTGCTCGAAGGACAATTGTCGTAATAGTTCATTTGACTCCTACATAAGAAATTGTTTTCGTGAGCGTCCAACAATATATAATAATTAATAATTGTTTATTGCAAATTCTTGCCCGTGGGCTAATTGCGGGAACAGAAGAAATATTTGGTATCAAAACAGACAATTAGTACACACTACTGATAACTACTAAGAAACTACTAGTAAAAACTACTGGGTTTGACTTCTTTTTTGAAGACAGGGGAAGACAAAGGATCCCACTTTTTCTGTAATTTGTGGGTTTTCGGATGTTAAGAGGAGAGTAGTTTTTTTTTTCATTAGTATATGTGTGAAAGTTTGGGATAATAGAGGTTGCCCACGTGGCTCTCTGATGACTGAGAGTGCCTATTCTTCACAAGCAAGTATACTTCTCAGTTCATAACAACTACATACATGTCAGGCCTCGAAATTAACTTTTCTTCCTATTGTCCCAGCACCGTCCCCAAAATAAATTTCTATTTTCCCAAAGTGAGGATGAACTATCCCAACCTGTTGTTTGGGTAGTATTATATGACTTCAACTTGAAGTAGAAGTAGATTGGAAATTCTGGGGGACTTTTCCGTATCCAAAATCCAGGACGTGTGCCTGATAAACTAGCCTGGGTTCCAAACCCAATCACACAGGACACAAAATATCTCAGTGAGATACTTTGTGTCCAGTGTGCTATGGGTTCGGAACCCAGGCTACTGATAAACAAAAGAAGGGCTGACATATTCTGATGTTGATTATTTTTCTATTGTCTGAAAAATGTCCCAAAATGTCTTTTTAGTTGTCCCAGCCTACATTTTAGTGGTCAGTCAGGCCATTGGACTATCTTTGATTTCGAGTTCTGCATGTGTACCTCTCCTGTAACTGTGTGTGAAAATCAATCACTACCCGAGTGTATTGTACAAACACTACCGTTATTGGGACCGCAGCCCGCAAACTGTCAAGTTTGCAGTCCTCTCCAAGTCCGACATTTGTCAGGACCAGGCAGGGGACGATGTCTACCTACATCCGGGCACCTGCCGCGCGGGTACCTTACTCTGACGTCACCAGATGCGTCATGAAGGGGGCAGTACATTAACTACCACTGGGTGGGGCTCGTGAATAAAATCATGTAAAGTACTGAAAAAAAAAAAGAATCAGGAAGAGTTGTACGTATTTCTACCATGACGGCATTTTGCTCCTTCCTTGGCAGAAGCGATGAGTCGCGTAGAACGACAATATGTGTCAGCGTACTCCTGCTATAAAGTATTCATACTTATAGTTCGAGGTATGGACGATATATATCCCATATGGACATATATGGACATATATATGCTTCTCCCCCTCCTGAAGTTGCAACAGTTGCAACCCAAAAAGGAAATTAGGCCGGAAATTTGATTCGGTCGAAACTTTACATTTCCTTTGGCTTAGTTGCCAGAATGTTGCCAGGGCCAACTTGATGTCACCAAGTCAAATTTACCATAGACACCCTTCAATTTAGATTTAACTGAGAAGCTGAGAAACTGGCCTGTCACAACAATCTGGCAGTCAAGTAGGCAGGAGTGGGTTGGTGGGAGCACTCGGACAGTAACCTGTCTTACTCTTAGGCCATGTTGATTTGATTATATGGATGACATCCTCCGGGAGCCCCAAAACTGATGCGCGCGTGCGAATAAAAAAAAAATTTGCAAAAAAAAAAAGTTCTTTTCATTATGAAATCTACGTGGTCATGAGGGTTGAGCAAATGGCACAGAATATGGTTTGGCGAATAATCTAGTCTTCAAGTTCATTTCTTTACAATTTCGTCTTTTTTCGTTTGATTTTGGCATTCTACGACATTGGTATAGTTTTTTTTTGTAACTTATGGTATATTTTTGCTCATTTTGTAACTGTTTTGTACGATTTACAGTATGGTTGAATTTTTTTTTTTTTGGAAACGGCCGAAAATTCATGCGCGCGCGGATGTCATCCATATAATCAAATCAACATGGCCTTACGTTAAAAAATATTTGCCCAAAATATTTAAGGGAAAGCTCTTGTCTCTCCCGTCTAGTTTTCCTCCCTTTTTGATGTTGTTATACCCCAGTTGAAAACGGGCAGTCATGCTGGCATCCAGGCTTTGATATGGTAGTAGTAGGAAGGAAGCGGGGTTAACATCCTCTTCCAACCATTACATCCACACAGACGTACGCACGATGCTGCCGTGTGTAATGAAAACGTGGCTTGGCAAGCAGGCTAGTATTGCATGCTCGGTCGGTATCTCTAGGGTGCCGAGAGGCTGGTAAAACGTCGGTCCATAGAGAAAGGTCATCAGGCTATGTGTACAGGGCCCGAAATTAAAGGTGGTCCAATGGCCACTGACTAAAACATTTTAGGCTGGGACAATTAAAAAGACACTTTGGGACATTTTTGGGACAATAGGAAAATAATCACACACAATACCGGTCTGAGCCAGGTTAGCCTTAGCCTGCTATCCAGTCTTAGGTGATTGGGGTTGGGGTGTTCAGGCAGGCTGTGTCTTCGGGGGCTCTAATACCTTCCTCCGCCCAGTGCAACAGGCCGTCCCGGTAGGAGTGTTACGCTAATAAGAGACAGTATGCTTGGGGATTTGGTTTCCCCCAACTCGTGGAGGGTTAATCAATCTCTCGTGAAATACACACCGGGAAACCTATGTGAGGTGGGCGGGACAGAGCTCTTGCGGCCCCGACCACGAATCAGACTGGATACCAGGCTAGTTTAGCCTCTGTTGACAGAAGTGTTCCGTAGTTCAACTTTTTAGTGAAAGCGCACATCCTTTCCACATGGCGTGGGTGAGGTATCCTGTTTCCTCGTATTCACCCCCGTCTGCCACTGCCAAGAGGGCACGAAAGACAGATCTAGGTTCAAATCATGTTTAGCAGTGTTCTAGCCAGGATTTTTATAGCATAGGGGTCAGGTACAGAAGAGCAACTTTCGTGGCACAAATCGCGCATTGAGCCGAAAAATTTTGAAACACATAACCCCCTAAGACACTATTTCTTATTTAATGTGGAACAGATTTTGTGAAGTTTTTACCCTTTGGTATAGCTTCATCATTCTAAAGTTATATTTTCATTTTTTGCAATATTTATGAAGGTTCTCCCTCCCAAAACACCCCTAACTTAGCATAGGGGTCAAAATTATAGCATAGGGGGTCAAAATCATAGCATAGGGGCCCCTGTGCTAAAAAGACCTGGCTATGGCACTGTTAAGACCAACACTATTTCTAGACGGTCGTACAGGTCTAGAAAATGAACCATTCGTCTGGATCCAACTGTCAGAGATATACTATATGCTATCCGTGCAAAAATATCTAGAATTGCTTGAAAGCAAATTAATCTATAAAAACATAAACGTTAACGTTATTATGAACATATAGCAAGAGTGACTAGACGTCTTAGAACCAAAGACCATGTCCCCAATGATAGTATACATCTATAGTAAGTCTTTCTCATCATCTCTAAGTTAAGTCTTTCTAAGAAGTCAATA